AGCGGCTAAGCTGCTCAGCAAAATTTTGCATATATGAGGAGAATTCAAGTAAGGCCAGGTCACTCTTTGGAATCTCAATCCTCGCCAACGTCATAATGACATACATTCCTTTTTTGTTTACGGAGATGGAAATTCTATGGTCCCTAATGCATACTTCTTCTTTAACTAAGACACTCCCGTTTTTCCAATGTGATTGGTTTAATGAGCCAAACATTATCTAATAGGCATGGAGCGTTCAGTTCTCGGCTGGGTTGTTCGAAGGCGAGTTAATTTTGAACTAGGATTCAAATTTAACCTTGGCTTTAGTTTCTCGTGTAGAAGAGCTTATTTAAGAGCTAAGATTTAGTTGGGGTTTATCTCATTATGACTCGAAACTAACCAGAAAAAAATTAAGGAGAAAAAATCCCTTTGCTAAACTATTCTAGTGAATTAAAAATTCATACTAATCCCGTGTTTTGAACAATCCGGCCCGGCTCAGTCGATTTTCCCATGTGCTGTGTTTCTTGGGCAAGAAATATTTCACAATGTACAATCTCCGTCCTTGAGAGAAAATGGAGCGTACCAAACCTATTGGGTATGTACAATATCTAGAAGCCATGTCTTTATTTAACCATATAATTGCTATCAGTGGCGACTAATTAGATCTCTTTATATGAGGTACTAACTCTGCCTTCTTGTTCCATACCCTGAAACCAGTTAAACACGGCTTGTATAAGATGGCTCTCCACCAAATGTCATTTTCCCTCCGCGAATCATTCTTGATCCTTCTTCTTCGCTTTCGAGTATTGTCGACCTTCTACTGTTGACACTTGACCTTAATCGCCTGGTGAGATTAAGAGACTCGTTTTGACTTCTTTGAGAACTGAAGTTTTTCTTGTTCTGCATCATATTTCCTATGGCGGACCAGAAGTCGCGTTTGAAAAATGTGTAGAGCAGAGGGTTGACGAAAGATGTGATGTATCGAATGACCATAAATGCTTGTATGACATTAAACAACTGAACTTTTATTTCTACAGTGACTAATAACATGATAATAAAGTAGGGCAACCAACAGCATGCAAATATGATCGCCATAGTTGCGAAAACCGAGATACACTTTCGGTCACTTCTGTTTTTCTTCTGCTTCCGTGGCCTTTTATTCACCAAAGATGGTCGCTGCCTTTTCGTGATCGTTCTGAACATGGCTATGAACGCGTAAGTCATAAATATGTACGGGATGAGGAACACTGCAACAATGCAAACTGCAGTATGGATGGTCTGCCAACGCTGAGATGCTTCAGTATCTTTCCAAACAAGAGGAATGACAGCAAAAACCGTAGAAATGATCCAAACCCCGAGCAGACTTTTCAAAACCAATCTCTTGGTCACCACGTAGTGTTTCAGTGGTCTGACAGTTGCCAAGTACTTGAGAGCAGTAATAACGAGTATGTGATAAGCACCTGAAACAGCCAGTAATATATGTGAGGCGTATATCCCATAGTGCAATTCTTTTGGCAAAATTGCAAAATTATAAATGATGAAGAATGGAATAGCGACAGCGCCAATACTGAAGTCACAAACTGCCAGACTAAGAAGCACATAGTTGGAAGACGTGCGTAGACGGGGACATCGGTAAAACAAGACAAACACGAGTCCATTAGCCAGAACTATTGCTATGGCAATTAGGAGAAATTTGCTCAAGGCCTTAACTCCATCGTCGGAGTGTTGCTGAGGAAACTTTGAGGTTGCATTGCTGTTATTCACGCTTACTTCCATTGAAACGACAAATGAAGACGAAAACACTGAAAGAGATCAAAAGTTTAAAAATGAAGTATTACTTACAGAAGCTACATGATATCGTATCACGTGAATAAAGAGAGACTTGGATTAATTGGAATACAAATAATTGCATATCATATCTCAGATGGAGAGAATATTCAAGTAAATGTTGTTGGGAATTTGGGGGGGGGGTGAGATCATGGGAACACTTAATGATTTATATTGAAATATTGATATTGAGGTGAAAAAGCTTCCTCTTTTTCGCTTTTCAGGTTGCAGACAAACCTGATGTAATTGGCCATGGCTGGAAGCTTCATTAGAGAGGCCGACGAAAGACTTGACTG